GGTCTCAAGTTCCCATTGCGTCCCTGCAGCTCTCTGTCACCTTAAGAAGGAACAATGATAGTAGCACCATTTATTGTGCACTCGCTGTCTGTCTGCCAGGCCCCGTACGCACGCTGCTCCTAGCACTACCACATTCAGTCCTCAGGCCCCATCATCATCCCCCACTTTATGGGCAAGAAAATGGAGGGTCTGGGAAGTGCTTTCCTCCCAAGCACTTAGCCCAGTTTGCAATGATGTGTTTATCTCTTATTGCGTTGTTCATCTCTCTCCCCAGCTGGACAGAAACTCCGGGAGAGGCCAGTTTCTCCTGCTCGGCACTACCTGTTCCGCCCAAGGCAGATTTTAGTAGACAGTAGCTATCTTTTGAATGGATGAATTAAACCCCATAGCTTGCCCACAGTGCCCCAGCTGCCGAGAAGTGAAGCAAGGCTAAACACCCCGGCAGGTGGCTCCAAAGCCATGCCATCACTACCCTCCAGCCTGCGGAGTGCCTGCTCCCTGTCTCCGAATTGCAAGGGACAGGGAAAAGATGCCCAGGCAGGTGACCACACACTCTGAACAGACAAGAGTCCAGGAGAGCAGCCTGCAGCATGGTCAACACTCAAACGGTACCTCCCTAGCTCCTTTTGCCCTACCCAAACCCTTAACCTTTAGTATGGGCTTAAATAATAAGACTATTGCACCCAATGTTTGAATCACAAAGCATTTTCTCAAACACAGCAGCAAGTCCTTGCAAAGGTCTTGTGGTGTCCCCCACCAAGGCCGTGTATAGATAGGACATCAGCCGTGTGCCATGGACGGTGCCAGACTCTCTACATGCAACCCTTCACTTACTCCTCACCATCTATCTGCAAAGCTGTCACTGTGCCCTCTTCCCTGTGGGGAAATGGGGTCTCAAAGCAGATAGAGGGGCAGCACTGGGGCCCAGCAGGAAGTTCAGCACACTGGCCACCGCACCAACACTCACCCATCAGGAGGCAACTTCCCTGCACAGTGCAGGTCTCTGCTGCAGGACACTATTGTGGTCTTCCCAGAGAGCCCAGCCAGCCAGACCTTGGTGACAGATGTGACTTCAGGGGTCCCTGACCTCAATCACCACAGCCGCCTCCAGTCACTATTTGAAATTCCAGTGGGCTCCCCAGACCATCAGCCCTAGGGTGGCCTGGGCAGTTGTTCTTGGATGTGCCATCCAGCCCTGCTGAATGGGACTTTCAGTCTCCAGGGACTGAGCTCAGAGTCACCATAGGTCCCCCAGGCCTCTGCAGTATGCACAGAGCTAGGGCAGAGTGGACAAACTGCAGAAGAGGCAAGGGGACATCAAGCTAGAAAGTGGGTCCCAGGACCTGACCAGCAGCAGAATGTGCTGTGCCCAGGAGCACAGAGAAGCCATCAGGCCCTGCCCCAGCTTTTATTGGATGGCCCGCCAGAGGGCCCTCTCTGCACCCAGGGGGAATCTGTGGCAAGCTTAGACTACAAGTGCCCAGGGTGAGGAACTAAGTGTTGTCCACACGTACTTCATTCTCATCACAGTTCTGGACGTTACGGCCCAAAAGGTTTTTTTTAATTAAGAAAAAATCCAACTGAAAGTCAAAGTCCTTGAGTGGAAGAAAAAAAAAATGTGAATAGTGAGCAAGGCTCACTCTGAGCCTGGGCCCTATAAAAGACACAAGCCTCCCAGGCTTCCTCCCCCACCCCCCACCCCCACCTCACCATCCTCACAATTTTAATTGTTGCTTCCCAGCTTCCTCCCCCCACCCCATCCTTGCTCTGTATTTTAATTGTTCCATTACAGTGAATTATTTAGCATCCCTTCTCCACCCGGGACCCCAGCCCTGCCTGCAGCCCCTCTAGCTGAACTTATTCCTCAGCAGCTCTGGGCCCTATACAACCTCTTCCCAAAAGTCTCGGCAGCAAACCAAGGACAATTTCTTCCCACTTTGGGGACAGGTGTGGACCTGGAATAATAGAATACATATGATCATAAAGTTGCTAGGCCGTCCGAGCTGCCGCAGAAGCTGCCTAAGTGACAAAAGACCAATGCACAGCTGCCTCAGAGGAAGCTGCTGTCCAGGCTCCGATACTGAGCGACACCCATATTGATCAGAGAGCATTTGCCACAGACATTTTGAGTCTGCCTGGGCTCTCACCAAGGCCTCCTTTGGGTTGTTCTCGTCCTCTGCATATGGCCCTTCTGAGCCTGCCCCAGGCTTGCCTCAGGTGAACAGGCTTCCTCAGCCTTCCAGAAGCTTGGCTCACAGTGAAGGTCAGACCTCCCCGATAACTCACCCTGGATTCCTACCCAGAAGACCCCAAAGGAAAAGTTCAGATCTTTTCTTGGTCCTTCCCAATCTCTCTTTCCATCCCCCAACCCCCTCATATCCACTGGTCACAGCATGATTCAGCCCTGGGGACAAGCTGATCCATCTGCCCATCAAATCAGCCCTAGTCACAGCTTCAGGCTTTGTGTTCATATTGTTACTTTTTTTTTTTGTAATGCTGGGCAGTGAACCTAGGGCTTTACACATGCTAGACAAGCATTCTACCACTTGAGCTAGGCTCCCAGCCCCTTTTTAAATGTTTATTTTTTGAGACAAGGTCTCACCACTACCATTGCCTAGGCTGGCCTTAAACTTATGATCCTCTTGCCTCTGCCTCTTGAAAAGCTGGGATTATAGGCATACACCACCATGCCCAGATTCATGGCTATTACTTCAGCCTATGTTGCCTGCCCTCTCTATTTGGCAAAACCCCAGTGAACTCTGATAAAATAGCCCATCCTCTGAGAAGTCCTTCACCCCAGAAAAAAACTTTTCGCACCCATGTTCTCACAGCCTACATTGCATTGCTGGTCTGGCCCTCTCCTAAGAGCTCATAGTTAGGGGTCCCTTGCCCAGTCCTCCAGACCATGTGCTCACTTCCTCTTGGAGCCTCAGCACCCAGGGAAGTCCCTGGCTTGGTAAACATTCACTCGATTAAATAATGAGACTTCTCTCCCGATCTTATCATAATAGGATAGAGCCTATCTTACTTAACAGGCTCTCACTTAGCAAGCAGCCAGACATCCTAGACACTTCAGTATACTACCTTCCAGTCCCACAAAAACCAGAGACTGGACAAATCCCTAGCCCCCTTTCCCTGATGGAAAGCAACTAAGGTTCAGAGAATTTTGGTGCCCAAAGTCACACAGCTATAACCGATGGAGCTGGGATTCCAATCCAGAGATACTGTCACTCTCAGGACCCACCCCAACTCTTTCCTCTATATTAGGAAATTTCACTCCCATTACTCTCTGATTGCAAAAGACTAAAGAATTAATAAAAGTCAGAGCAGACACTACCCTGAACACTCAGGGTGATGAAAGCAAGTATGGAAAGACTTCAAGATCCCAAAGCAAAGGTGAGGGGCACATGTGTCTCACATCTAGGCTGCTGCCAGGGTAACAGCTGGAAGAGAAATGCCCCAGTGGACAAGGCAAGGCAAGGGCAACAGGGAGTAGGTCCAAAGGGAACAGGTCTACCGGGTGACCAGGCAACCTCAGGGATCCTCTGAACGGATTTTTGATGCTCAATTCCTCTCCAGGTCCACTCAAGAAAATGCACAGGCTGCCCCAATCCTCTTCACCCCACCATTTCTCCCTGCTCCACAACAAGGGGGGAAGGGAGAGAGAGAGAGAGAGAGAGATTGCATGCAGATTGCAAATTCTCTGAAACCGACTGGGGAGAGTCTCAGATCCAGTCAAGAAGAGTTGGGCAAGTGTATGGTCAGTAATTGCTAACCTTGATCCAGGCAACAGCTCTCCCCAGGGTCAGATGTCCATCTCTGACCAAATGGAAGCCAAGAAAATGTGTTCACAAGGTAGCAAAATACATACACCATTCCTGAGCCACTGCAATTGCCCAGGAGTGTGGAAAGGTTTAAAGGAGCTGCCAGCCTTCTCCAAGTCCAGATCAGAAAAATCTCCTGGTGCAGTCACCTCTGCAAGCAGTACAAAGGCCCTGCCTGCATCCAAAAATCTACACACACACACACACACACACACACACACGGTCAACATTTGTGGACTCTCATGACCTCACACTACTGAGGTGCCCAGGGGTACCAGAAATCCACGAATTCACAGTCTATAGAAGAACAGATGATATACAGCTTTAAACACACACACACCCTACAAAGCTTAACGGTCTAGAACGGATCCAGCTTTCTCAAGAATCTAGAAGAAAATGGGAAGAGCAATAATGATTCTTTATCACGTGTCATTGTCAATGTCTTTAACCTTGGGTCTCTGATCCAAGCTCCTGACCTCTCCTGTTATTCATGGGGCTCCCCAACTAGGACACACCTACCCCTCTCTGGGTGCTCAGTGTAACATGCTCCAAGCCCCAAACCCAAAGCCCTCAGGTCCCATTGTCTTCCTGGGTTGGGGATGGCTGCAAGGGTACAGGGGGAACCAAACACCTGTATGGGAAGAATTGTCAAGGCTGTGGGCCAAACAATGGAGAGAATGGGAAACCAGAAACTTCGGCTCCATGTAGCATACTACTCATCGCCCATCGCACATGACCAGGCAGCAAGCTCCCAGAGCCCAAACCCACACAAGCACTCAGAACACAGCCCAACCCCAAGTGTCCAGAAGCAGACATTGTGCCTGGAGAGTGCGGGGAGCTTCCCTCCTGGGTGCCAAGAAGGCTTGCTTTCTGGCATGAATTCTCAGACACCCTGGAGGGATAAAGTGCTGCTGGCGCAGTGTGAAGGGCCTGCCGGTGCAGAGTATGAGGTGCAGGTGTGATCATGGGCTGACAGCCCCGCCGAGGGCCCTTTGAACCTGGGAAAAGGGACACAGAGGCGCCCCTGGGCCGGGGAAAGACCACCTTAGGCACTGACCCATCCATGGGCTGCAGAGCCCGGGCTCCAACAATCTTGTCCCCACCCCCGCCCTCAGTAGCGCCTGGGTGGGAGAGGAACCTCGGGGCTCCCTGTGGACGGGGTGGGGGCTTACTCACAGGCGCTCGGTGTTCCGTGGGATGTTCTTGGGGATGGCCTGCAGCCCCGTGCCGTGGCAGTCCACGGTGGTGCCTGTGCAGGTGCAGAGGGCGGGGCACGCCGTGGTACCCAGGCGCCACGCGGCTGTCCACAGCAGCAGGAGCCAGAGCTCCGGCCGTACCAGCCCCTCCAAAGAGCCCCGCCGGGGCGTCAGCGCCATGGTGCCCTCACTGTGTCCCGCTCGCGTGCCAGACGGCTGCAGCCGCCGACCATCCCCGTCCGGGGCCGCCTCCAGGTGCAGTTCCCGGCCAAGCCTCCGAGGAACCCGCCGGCGAATGCGCTGCGCCCTGGCCGGCTGGCCGCAGGCACCTTGCTGCGGGCAGCAACAGCGCGAGTGCGCGAACCGACTCAGGGAGGACTGCTAGGCGGAGGGCACTAGGCTCCTCTACCGATCGTCGCCGCCTGCGTCTCCCTCTCCCTCCCTCCAGCTCCCAACTGACTGCTGCGAGGAGGAAAATGGGCAGGCCCCGCGCGCGCACGCACCCCGCGCACACACTCGGGCGCACACACACACCCCCTCACGCCCGCACGCTCGCTCCCACCCGGCAGTCATCCATCAAGCGAAAAGCACACATCAGGGCCAGGCTCCTCCCCGCCCTCTCCCCAGCTCGGACCACCGCCCCCTCCTCCCGGCCACCACTTGGTGGCTGCGGCTGCTGAAAGCAGCGTACAGTTCCAAAGGTGGAACTTCCGAGGCGCCGCCAGTGGGCAGGGGCAGCGGGGTAGGGGGAGCCACGACTCGACCCTGCCTTCCCCACCCCCCAAGCTCTCTGCACACACCACACACACACAGCGAGGGTGAGCACGTTTACACACCCCAGCACCTGTGGCCCCCCAGCTGCTGGTCCAGAGGAGGAAGGAGAATTTTTTTTTTTTTTACCGCCTTTCCTGGGGCCACAGACACCAGGGGGTGAGGCTCTTGGGCCTCACCATACTTGCTGTGTCAATTCTTGGTGAAAGGAAGCCACTGGTTCCAGGTGACCTCTTAGAGCCATCTACCATACTTAGCCTGGGACCTCAAGGGCAGAGCCTGGGGAAGGGGGCATAAAAGCCCTCTGCCAAATACAGTCTCCCCTCCTCCCCAACACACATTCTCCCTGAGATGACCAGATCCTTCTTGTCCAGGGGAACAGAAGCCAATCAGGATGCACATGGCCTGCACTGAGCATGTGCACTGGGGGAGGTGTTTTTCTACCCAGGCCTGCTTTGCTGGCTTCGGGGTGCAGCAAGCTCTTCTCCACACAGGGGCTCCTCTGTGTCTGACAGGTGGAAACATGAAAAGAAACATTCAGTTCTGTCATCCGAGGGTGGCAGAGAGAGCTGGAAAAGGGCCAAGCATCTGCTTGTGAGAAAAGCCCCATAGGGCCACCCTGATGGGACCTAGGCCTTTTGTCCCAGTGGACAGGGACTTACTCTTATTCTGAGGTAGGTGTCAACATGGGTGTGAATGGGAAATCCAGGTAGGGAGAGAATTACTCTCAACCCCAGAAAAGATTAGTCATCTTACCTAAACCAAGGTCAGCTGTGGTTTGTTGTGGCTCGAGTGGACAGCACCTTGTCAGTGCATTGGGGCCTGGTGAGAGGCTGCCCACAGCCTGGCAATAGGAAGTGGCTATTGCCAGGAATCACCTGCCCTCCCCAGAACTGCTATGGAGGCTTCCAGAACAGTTGGTCTGGGAGATGCCAGGCATGGAAATTTGGCCCTAGTGGTGGTGGCACCACAAGATTCAAGCCTTATGGCACACCCAGTACCCTAGGCTCAGGGTTTTCCTTTGCTTTTTCTTTTCCATCTGGATGAAATTTTTGCAGGGCCTCTACTGTGGTAGCACAGATAGAACTGTGGCCAGTGTGTCTCCACTCGTGGCTGCTTTCAGAGGCTTCAGACAGCTCTTTTTCTAAAGTACACACACACATTCCTGCTCACGCGTATGGGCTCTCTTGATGGAGCATCAAGAAAGGAGACTTTCTCCGGGATCCCTGAATGTTGAGACAGTAAGGAACCTTCCCACAAGTCGGGCCAGAATCTGAAAGGGCCCCTCTTCCAGGCTTCTCCCTCTTTCTTGAAATTCTAAGTCCTTTTCCTAGGCATCCCCAGCCTCAGGCACAAGGAAATCCTCATTCTTCTGTGCTTGCTGCTTTGTTTATACCTTGTAGCTAGAGCCCCTCCAGGGCAGAGCCCTACCCCTGACTTCCTTGCTTTGACACCTACCCCAGCACCTGGCACTTAGTAGGCCTATCACAAGCAAGCAGACTGTTGAAGACACCTGGTCTCCAACCTCCTGCTCCAGCAGCCCTAGCCCCATAACCTCTGAGGCCCCCAGAAGCCAGGACCCCTGTAGGGAACAGAAGGGTGTTGATTAACCAAGCCACATGCCCTGGGGTCCTCAGAGTGGCAGGGAGAACCCATGTGAGGAGGGGCAGGAGGGGGGTTGCAAGCTCACTCTTGCCTGTGACTCCAGAGAGCCAACGCCTGCCCTAGAAACTTCCAGACTAGCCTGGCCAGTGAATCCCAAGCAGGCCCTAAGCCAAGTTGTCAACGCCTGGCATAGCTTGGCCTTTCCTTTGAAGGGAGGGAAGGAAGGAGGGCCCTTTGGACCCAGGACAAAGACTCCCCCCACCAGCCCATCACAGGAGACCCTGCCTCAGCAGCTGGGCAGCTCCCCAACTTGGCTCCCATTCCTGGTTCCTCCACCCCAGAACCTGGCGGGCTCCCCAATTCAGGAGGCAGCTCGCCATGAATGAACGCAGCTCATTAGCGTTCCCAGCACATTTACTTGTTAAACAACCGCCTGGCCAGCCGCACACCCCAACCCCCCCCCACTTGCTTTTTTAATTTCCTCTCCCATGCCCCTCCCTCTCTTGGGTCCTCCTGCCCCCTCCATCCAGCCCAGGCCACCTGCTCCCTCTGCACGGGTGGGGAGGAGCAGGCTGGCACATTGCTTCTGTCGGGAGGGCTCCACCAAGACAGCTCTGCCCACTGGCCACCAGCAGAACCACCCCAGAGGAAAACTTGGGGTCAGGTCTCCCCATGCCAGAGGTGTGAGCCTCCACAGAGACCCCTCAGTCGTGTGTGCTGAGCTGCTGAGGGTCACCTCCTGCCTGTGACTCCAGGAGAAAGCAAACCTCCCTCCAGCTTTTGCACAGCCCGCATCCCAAGCCCCCACCTCCACTAGCCCCTGCTGGAGCACCAGCAAGGGAGAACCTGGGGGAGACCAAGGACACTATGGTGTGGATTTCCAAACTGCAAAGGGCGAAAACAAGAGCAAACACCTGTCATCCAGGCATCCCTTAGTACCACTTACCGAGTACTGATAGGCATGGACACTACTGGGACTCAGTAACTCATCAGGAAATAGAATGGAGTGGACAGAAAAGGAAACAGGAACATGTTGGCCTGGAAAGGGTGGTGACAGAAAATGAGAACTGCAGAGAAGTCAGAGGTGAGGGCAGAGTGAGGCCAGAAGGCTCCCTGCAGGGTGAGGCACATGAGCTGAGTCTTGAAGGATAAGCAGGCATTAGAAGGTCAGCAAAACCGGAAGAGGGACCTTCTCAGCAAGTGGGACTGCAGGAAGTAAGACACACAGACCAGGGGCAGCTCCCCCAATGACTAGGGCCCACATTCCAAAGCACCTGGCCTGCCCCTGTGCTGACACATACCTGTATTTGCATGTGCTTAGACATGTACTGTCACTGCATCCACTTTTTCTGGAGCCCAGTTGCTTCCATGGAGGGGACCTGAGTGGTGGCAGCTTTGCTTCCTTTCTACTATTTGAGGATTTTACCTTACTTTTACCTACTTTATTTTTACCATACTTTGTATGACCTAATCCCTCATCATCACCAATACTTTTTGAAAATCACTTAGGTGTTTATTACACATGGTCATTCCTGGGACCCACCACACACCTTCATAATCAGACTCTGCTATGGGTGGAGGGAGGCAGCAAAATTCTAATGCAGGGGGTTCCAGAGCGCATGCTCTAAAAATCAAGGCCTGCTGTGCAGAGTTAATGAGCTTGAACTTGGACCTGAAAACTCTGGGGAGCCATTGAAGGAAGAGGCCTGGCAGGGACAAAGGGTCTGTCTGCCTTCCCCTCTCCAGATTCCACACACCCTCAAAGTGAAAGCTACTGGAGGGAAAGCAGGGTAGGGACACGATGTCAGAGCTGAAGAGCTGGAGAGGGATTAAGAAAGTATCAAACACCAATGTTATTACACAGTTGGTGGCCCAGAGAAAAGAAGCAACCACCCTAACCTCATGCAGCAAAGGAGCTGCAGAGTTGGCTGTGAGTGAGGCTGGATCTTGCCCTATTGGGCCACACACCTGGAGAGAACACAGCATCCAACCCAGCTCTCCTCCTGACTTTGCCACCTACAGGGGTACTAAGAAATAAGCAGAAGACCCTGAGAGGTCTGGGCCAGCAGAACTCAGAATGTTTTAACTGAAATCCTCTGGCATCTGCTCAGTCACAGAGGGCTGGGCTGCTGAGGTTCTCAGTGACAAAGCCTGCAGCAGGGACAAGCTCCTAGACTTAAGATCAAGCGGCTTTTATAACCTGGAGGCCACCATCTGTATCCAGGACAACTCTGGCAAGAGAGAAGTACTGGGAACAAGAGAGAAGCAAAAAGGGAAAGAGAGAAGCAGAGAGGCAAGGGAGAAGCAGAGCAACAGAGCTCACCCTTTCACCAGACGCTGTCTGCGTGCAACTATAAGCCAGGTGTAGGAATGAAAGAGATTTTTCTCTTGGGGCTCAAAGGGCTTCTTGCACTTTGTTCATAGCCTTCATAGAGTTTGAAAAGTTTTTGACCATTATTTTTACACATTTTTTTCTGTTCCCTCCTCTCTTTTCTTTCTTTGGAAACTCCACATACAAAAAGTTAGGTCACTTCAAGTTGTCTCACAGCTCATTGATGCTCTGTTCATATTTTCAAATCTTGTTACTCTCTGTTTCATTTTGGGGGGTTTTTGTTTATTTGGAGGAAGTTTGGTTTTTGGAGGTTTTTTGTGTTTGTAGTAATGAGGTTTGAACTCAGGGTCTCACACTTGCTAGGCAGGTCTCTGCCACTTGAGCCACGCCTCCAGCCCTCATTTTGGTGAGTTTCTATTGCTGTGTTTCCACAGTCATTCTTTCCTCCAGCAATGTCGAATCCACTGCTAATCCCATCTAGTATAGTCTTTATCCCAAACACTGTCATTTTCCTCACTAGAGCTATATGTGGGGCTTTTTGTTTGTTTGTTTGTTTTAGTGAAAGTAATAGCAAAGTTTATTAAAAGAAGGAAGAAAACCAGACACCAGTGACTCACTGTTGTAATCCTAGCTATTGGGAGGCTGAGATCAGGAGGTTCATAATTTAAGGCCAGCCTGAGCAAGACACTACCTCCAAAATAACCAGAGCAAAATGGACTTGGAGG